AATTTTAACAGCATCATAACATGCTACGTATTTATTGCATTAATATAGCGCTATATACACCTACATACCTTAGTTGATGCTGGATATTGTCGTACAAAAGTGTGATTAACTAGAATTAAAGCATCAATTAAAATATTCTGCGAAAAACAACTTCCTTAGAATCTCGATAAAAAATTAAAAACATTAAAAAAAAGTAAGATAAAAACAAAATGTTTAATATTGTTATCTTTTTTAGTATTATGGATTGTTTTACAAAGTTATGACCTTTCTTATAAACATAAAGGCAGCACGATCGTCGTCAAACTTTTAAATATTTGATGGATTCAACTTGTTGTAAGTTTGCCACACTCTGCCAAAACAGCTATAGTGTTAATAAATAGTAATACAATTTCTAGACGTATAGAAAAAAAAGCGTTCAGTGTTTTATTGTTAAATCTTAAATTTTTAAAAATATACAACTCAAATAAAATTGTGTTATTTATTTAAACCTTTATTCGTCTCAAGCCAAATAATATAGGCTCGAACTTAAAGTTATCAACTTTACTTTATAACCTTAACAGGACCTCGGTACTTTTCTTGTTGTTTCCACCCATTTTACAACGTTAAAATATGAAAAACTTTAACATTATCCATGTCTGTCTGTCCGTCCGTCAAAACAACTCTGCATTATTAGAATAGATATCTCAAAGATGGTACTAACTGTAAAAAAATTGACCTCTGACTGCCGGCTCCATGAAAATTACTGTTTTATTAAAGTCGCCGAAATTTTTCAAAAGCGTTAAATATTATTTGACGCGATGGCAGGACAAGAACAAATTATATTATATATATATATATATATATATATATATATATATATATATACATATATATATATATATATATATTATATTTATATATATATATATATCATTTTTTTAATTTGTTAATTTTTATATCTACACTTTACTGTTGTAAGTTAGTTTTTTTACGTGCAATGTTGACGGGTTTTTATTGAGCTTGGTAGTAGTTTTTATTCTTCCTTTCATTTGTAAATTAAACTTTTTCGCATTGTAATACACGAATGCTACTACACATAAACATTCAAGCTACGATTTTAACAACATTTTAATGTATTGACCACAATTACCAAGGGAATGGTGTGTTTGTTTAACACCTTTTTATACTTCACCTACCATTCGTAAGTTATTTTTTCCATGTTTTTGTATATTATTGCCTACCACCATTGTAATATTTTTTAGATTGCACTGATGAAGCTTGTAAATTCCACAAGCGAAACGTCTTCAAATATAGGAATGGAACTGTGATTTTCTTGTACTATTTCTCCTTTGACCGATATCCTCGTGATCAAAAGATTTTTTCTTTTGAAACTTACTTCATTGTATATATATATATATATATATATATATATATATATATATAGATATATATATATATGTATATATATATATATTATATATATATATATATTATATATATATTATATTATATATATATAAATATATATTTCTAATGTAGACAATATAAATTTAGAACAACCTATCTTAAAATTGAAATTCTTACAATAATTAAATTATATTAACAAATTTTGGTACCTTTCCGTCACTAAATGCCTAAATGAAACTGTTTACCAAAATAAAGGGTATAATCACCACTCACTATCTTCTTTATCAGCCTCGATTATCCCTGGTTTTGTGAAATTGCTTTTTCTAAATATACCACAATGTTTTAATTATCAGCTTCTAGCAATTTAAAATATTTTTCTTCTTAATAGCATTCATAAATGGGCAGAATATTCTTCTTTATTTATTGTTTCTTCTTTGCTTCTTACTTATAATCTTATTTTTTCTTCTTAATAATCTCCAATCACCATATAAATATTATAATTTTAAATTCTTCTAATCTGTATTTATATGGTATTAGGTATGATTTTGTTTTAAAATCTTTTTCTTCTTTAACTTTTATACTATGGATATAATTTTGTGCAATGCTATTTTCTTTATTGACAAGTCCCTTGTGTTGCTGCAATATAGAAACGACTGTTGATTTACATTCTTCAGGGCAACTTTAAACTTTTATCATATCTTCTTCTTTACAAATAAAATTATTTTTCATTATGTATTCATTATTCTTTGCTTCCAATTTTACGCACTCCACCTCGTAGGCATCCATCTGCTTAAAATTTCCATTCCTTAAATATTTACTACTATTATTTTTCACAGTCTTTTGGGACATCTCATCATTAAAATATATTTCTTCTTCTAAACATCATTGCTTTCTTTTAATAATATCCTATCAACTCTTATTTTTTCTTCCACCCCATCTTTCTGTATAAACTTAATTATTTGCCCTTCGAAAGTTACAACTTTTTCTTCAAAATCTATCTTTACTTTCTTCTTTTCCAATTCGTCATTTCCAATTAATATATCAACACCTAAATCCTTGACAACAAATCCTTGCATATTAATTTGTTTATTAAGAAAATTAATTTTAAAATTGGCTAGTTTATTAATTTCTCCCAACTTCTTATTATTTCCACCAACAATTTTAATTTTTGGAATCTTTATTATATCTCATAGTTTTAGCGTATTAAAAATAAAATTTTCCGAGACTACAGTACTTTCTGAACCAGTATCTATCATAATCTTAATCATTTTATAATGTCTCAAGTAAAGAAAGGTACAAGAAGTAAAAAGAATGAAGAAGATGTGGAAATAGAAACACAAGCTGTACAAGAGGAGAGTTTAGTCCAAGTTCCACAAGATACAGTAGAAATGAATCAAGAAAGATAGGAAAATGTCAATATGGCAGCTTTGATGTCATTAATAATGCAGATGAACAAGACAATGGAAGAGAAGACATGAGTTAAAGAAGACATGAAAAAAATAGAACAAAAATTGGAAGAGAATTATAAGAAATTCTCTTCCATCTAAGATGGAAGATAATAATAATAAAATTGTAAAATAAATAGAAAAACAAATAGATAAAAAACTTGAAGCTGCAGAGAAAAAAGTAGCAAATGAAATAAAAAATATACAGCATGACTACAAGAAAAGGATGGAAAATGAGAGAACAGAAGTAAATAAGATTATTCAAGATAATATGATAGATATAGAACAGAAAATAGAGTTGCAGAAATGTAACTTAGAAGTTAAAATTATCGAAGACAGGAGAAAGACAGAAGAAAAATTAGACGATATGCAACAAAATATCCAAATAAATAGTAATCAAATAAGAAAAGTGGAACAGAGAATAGATGATATTTCACAAATGAGAGACATATAGAGACCTTACTTAAATTTAACAAATGACACTGGGATTAAATTCTCTGGTAATATAAAAAAAATGTATCCTAGAGTATACATAAATAGTTTAAAACATAAATTAAGATTAGTAAATAATATTAATGATATTAAAGATTATATTAGAATGATATTAAGTGACAATGCGGCAACTTGGTTTGTCAGTATTGGGAATGATTTGGATAATTTTCAAACATTTGAAAATAAATTTTTAAATTATTATTGGGGTGAATTAGAGCAAGCTCGATTTAGGGAAGTTCTATATTTCGGAAAGTATATTCATAATTTAAGATCAAATTAGGTAGATTATGCATTAAAACTGATAACGGTTGCAAAATATTTAGAACCACCACTTAGAGAGGATGAAATAGTCTTAAATTATATATATATAGACATTTTGATGCCGATATAGTGTGTTTTAACAACAGGAGAAATACAGAACGACCTAATTATAACAGACAGGTAAATCATGTACGAAGGAATAGAAGCTGCGAAGATAGTGAACGAAATAGTACAAGGCAGGAAAATACGAATAGAAGTCATAGTAGTGAAAAACACAGGACATTAGATCCAAGTGGTCAGACACAATCGGACAATTCTAACAATCCAAATTTTTTGCAGTAAACTTTCTGAATTACAAGTTGGGCCATTGCCATAATGAAAAACCTTCTAAATTTATTTCTTTAGATGAAGATACAATTATTGAATCTATTAATTTAATTTATATAAATGCTATGGCCAAAAATAGAATGATTAAGATTATGATAGATACTGGTTCAGAAAGTACTTGCCATACTTATTACAATGCCAAAAGATTATCTTTAAAATAAAGTCAATTTTATGTCAATTTAAAAAATCGTCTTTGTTTTATTCGAATTCAAAGTTCTATACCTCTAAAAAAAAACACCCATTAGAATACTGTCATCGTGTCAATGACCTCGTCGTCGAGACACGTTAGTTAAAAAAAATAGCTTAAGAATATAATATACCCGCCATAAAAATCATAGCATATCAGTAAAATTCTCCCGACATGTTAAATATTTGCCCTGACATTTAGTTTATATGTAGGTTACTTTATTATAAAATACAAATAATGTACCATTGATATGACTTACTTCACTTTGACTTACTGATAGTGGTATTTTCCCAATAAAAATAGTAAATTGTGTTAGGATGCCCAAAAAAAATAACTTCAGAACCATACACCTAAGGTAGCAGGAGGGGGGATTTCTTTTGGCCTTGTTCAAGGATAATGTTTGTCTATTTGTAACTTTGATTACCTTATCCTTATAAATAATGTTTAGTTTAAAATTATTTATTTTTTGTTTATTTATCATTAAAAAAATGATTCTTTTGTTTTTGTCGGGATTTAAAAAAAGCATAATATAATTATATGCCAGTATACTTAATAAAACTAGATAAAAAACTGTTTTCCCTTAATAACAGCTTATTGTCCTTTTGCAATTGATTTCCTTTGAAAACATTTTTCTTCTACTAAGGAAAAGTGTTTTGGTATGTCATACGACTTAGCTTTATTGATAAGTCATACGACAAGCTATGTCTGATAATATAATTAAAGTGTACTTGTATGTGTAAAATAATTTAGTATCTAATACATTTTGGATGATCGTTTTTTAGAACATCATTTATTTCAGTCACTTATATGTGATCATATACAAAAACAAAATATTAAATATTTTACAGATTTTCACTGGCGATATATTTATTGCATTCATGAAAATTGTTCATATTTTTAACATTAAAATCTGATAACGCCATTACAGACTCAGGTCTGTAATTTGACGAACTATTTCTCGAACAAGTCCTTAACATGGGACATTCCACTGACACAACTGTTGTCATACTTGTCATTGTAGAACATCTGTTATTTGCTCCACCAGCTTTTAGGCTGCTGTCCATGCAAGTCTTTTTATATTGCACTCCTGCTCCATATGGAAGAGGCTTTCCACCGATCGCTCCTCTATGTTTTTCTGCTTTTTCTTTACAAATACCATACCGACCCATTAAAATAAAAAAGTCTCTTCGATATTGTTGTGTCAACAATGCGTAGAGAATTGGGTTGGCGCACGAATTGAGGGGATAGAAGAATACCAGTAATATTTTTGTATTAGTAACGGTGATTAAAGGAAATCCCAATAGAGCAGTAATTCCAAAAAATGCTATTGGAGCCCAGCAAGCGAAATCTGTAAAAACGAGAAGTGCCATGCGTTTAGCTACTGTGAGATCATTTCTAACTGATGTTGAAGATCCAGTGCGTCCACCTAAAAAGTATAACAGTTATATGTTAGTATAAAAGAAATTTAAACAGGATGGTTTTTATTTTTTTAAGCAACATTTTTAAGTTTTAGATATTGTTAACGTTATCATCAGTTTACCAACTCTAGGAAAATCCTTACACTTTAGTTATTTTATGTAAATATTGTATTTATATGAACCTAAATTACAATTGATTGTAATGAAAATTATATTTTACATTTGTTTCTGACATTTGGATTCCAATCCGAAATTTTTTTTAGTAAATGGTTAATAATAATAGCCCCCCTTTATGCAGCTGGCGCTGCTTGGGATTTATAGCAGGCTACTCTACACCCCTTACCTCATACTACAAGGTGTAAGAAATAATAAATTATACTAAACATACATACTAAACATACATACTAAATTGCAAATTCAGTATCCATTTAGAATTACATTCTTTGGGTGACGCATACAGTGTAGTCTACAACAAAATGGTTTGTACTATGTGTGTACTTTTGTCACACACACATTAGTAGTGGGAAAGCGTACTAAACTTCGCACAGTAATAGGTTTATACAGGTCATTACTGTTTTAGCTATGGAATAGAAAATAAATATGCTTTATTGACACTGAAAATTGTACAATTTTTTGGACAAAGCTTACAAAAGTCAAAAAATAACAATAACAATTTAAAATTTACTAAAGTTATATGAATCGTCAATACCACAAAATAAAATATACACTCCATTGCCAATTTAACTAAATTGCAAATTGCGTAATGAAACTTTAGGAACTAATACAACGCATGTGATACCCAAATATATTGTTACGATAAATATGACTCATAACCTAAACTGTAAACATTATTTTTAATTCGTATTTTTCTAGTAGTTTCCCTTACAATAAAAACTGTATTTTTTCCATGTTGTTCGAGAGAGTTCAAGAGAGGTCACCATTCGGTTCGATGGAACTTCGGAGTAACGGCTATTTAATATATATATAGAGGAAATTTTTATTTGTAAACAGTTGGTCTAAATAATTGTAGCGAGTCGTTAAATTGTAACGCGGAAATAAATTATATTAGTGTAAATAGTCTGTAAATAAATATTGTAAATAAATAATATAAATTAAAGTAGTTGTGTTCTAGTTTTTAGTGATAAGTGTAAGACTGTAATAAATAAATAAAGACTCTAATAAACTATGTGTTAGAACATTATTTTTATAATAAATAAAGTTAATAAATTAGATTCATAAAAAACAGTTCATTGGTGTCAGAGTGAAATTTTAAATAAGTTGTAAAAATGACTACGATTTATGAGCTCACAGTTACGCATTTAAGAAGACGTCTCGAGGACAGAGAATTAGGTTCTACCGGAAAAAAGGCTGATTTAATCCAACGACTTAAGAACGCTCTAAAGGAAGAGGGTTTGGACCCGGAAACTTATATATTTAGAGACAAACATGCTGCTTTCATCTCGTCGATTTCGAAAGTTTCTTCTGATGTAGAGAGCAAAGTTTCCGGCAACATCGCTTCTTTAGAAGACAAAGTTTCTAACGATATGTCTTCTTTGGAAAGCAGTTTCTGCTCACATCTCTTTGAAAATCTTTAAAGTCACTTCTGAGATGTCTACCCTCGACGATAGAATATCGTTAAAAAAAACCAAGTTGCTGCCAATGAGTTGGCCTTCGAAGAAAAGATGAAAGAAATTGAAAGGAAGATGGAGAAATAGGGACAACAGAGAGAGGAAACAATCCAATTACACTAGAGACAAAAAAGGCGAGGCAAAATGTAAGTTCAAAACACGGCCAAAATTTGAAGGAAGTGGAGGTTCTGTTCATGTTAAAGTCCCAACTTTCGACGGAAAATCTTCCTGGAACAACTACATGAAACAGTTAGAATCAGCTGCAAGAGCGAATGGATGGTCTGAAAAAAAAGGCTGTAAACCTGACTATTGGTCTTCGAGGAGATGGCTTAGATGTGCTTCAGACCATAGCCGTAGAGGAGATGGATGATTTCAAACAACTTAAGAAGAGGGTAAATATGCGATATAGCCTCGAACATTTGGAGCATGTATATCAGTCGCAGCTTAAAAATCGAAGACAAAAAAGAGATAAGGCTCTTCAAGAGTATGAGGTAGATATTGCCATATTAGTAGGTACGGTATGCTTATCCAACAGCTCCCGAAGACATGATGCAAAAATTGGCCGTTCAAACATTTATTGATGGTCTTCGTGATCATGAAATGCAGAGAACACTGCGATTAGCTCGTCACAAGACGCTGGTTGATGTGTTATCCGCCGCCCTCGAATACGAGTCAGCTACGCAGGCCTCTGGCGGGTACAGTAAAGTTAGGACTGTAAAAGAGGATGGATATGAAGATAAACTTGACCAGCTGGTTAATATAATGAAACGTATTACATACAAGAAACGGATCGGCCTTAGGGGGGGCAGCTTCGACCCGAAACTTTTTCAAAGACCCTCTCATACTAATAGCTTCTTTGAAATGTCGTGAGGATAGTATATATGTAGATGGAGAAATAAATGGTAAGAGGCATACGTTGTTGGTGGATACCGGAGCGACCAGAACCATTATACGCCTGACAGTAATAAACAGCCATAAAAAACTGTTACTTTAGGTGAAAATATTAACATTCATGGAGAAATCTAGGTACAATTAGGAATTGGAGCAAAAAAGTTTGTCCATACTGTTATAGTTGCTGACATGGAAGAGGATATATTAGGATTGGACTTAATGAATATGCAGGATTCCAATTGGATTTTAAGAATAAGGTAATCAAAGTTGGTAACGAGAAGGTATTTTTTCATCCACATGATGACAACACTGTACAAGCAGCCGTTAAAGAAGATACAGTCGTGCATGCGAGAAATGAAACGATCATAGTAGCGCGGTTACAGGGAATTGTGGACGAAGGGGCATCTGTTATGATGGAGCCTTGGAACCATAATGACGAGGTTGGCCGATGAATCATAATTGGAAAGGAATTGGTGACTTCGACTAAAGAAATAACTGAGAAGCTTATCAATGTCAATGACTACCCAGTGACTATCAAAAAAGAGACAAAAGTAGGAACTTGTGTACCTGTGACTCCATAATCCGTTAGACAATAACATCCGATAATTCCAACGACAAATTCTACCAAATGGTTGCAGTACCTGGACAGTCTCTAAGTCAGATGGAGAAAAGGAAATTAAAGAAATTTCTTCAGCAATATTGTTGTTAGGCTAAAATGAATAAAGACTCTAATAAACTAAGTGTTAGAATATTATTTTTACAATATAAAATAAATAAAGTTATTAAATTAGATTAATAAAAACAGTTTAATATATAAAAAGACTTTGGTTACTTGTATATAAACGTACTGTAAGTTGTTCGTTAAAAAACTTTTTCACTAAATAATATGGTCTGTCAGATAGATAGGCTTTTGCCAATTTACAGAACTTATGGAAAGAAGCTGTAGATTTAAGTTGCAAAGTGAGATGGTTGTATAATTTTTTTGCCGAGTATAATACAGATTTATCTACTAACTCAGTACACGGGATCGGTAAATACACATCAAAGGTTGAATTTCTGGTAGAGTAGTCATGATAAGGTCTTGCTGGAAAAACATGTAGGTGTTTACGAATCAAGCAAACAAGCAAATCTAAAATATGTAAAGAGGGAAGAGTTAATATCCCGTGATTTTTGAAGTAACTTCTGCAATGTGTTATTTTACTGAGGCCAAAAAGATACAGTATTGCTTTTTTTGGTAATTTAAAAATAATTTCAAATTGGGCAGCTGTACAAAAAAATATATGATATTTTGGAATATGCTAAATTGATTTCCTTCGAAAAAGATCTTATTGCATAGCAGCCTATGCAAAGTGAAAAACCCGTACAGTAGATTGGCGGTTATTTTCCGGTTCGTAGAAGTAAATTCAGGATTCATGGCAACTAGCAATACTATAAACGACTTTTGAGCTTCCTTTCTTGAACCATTCCAGTATTTTTCGACACCAATTGACGCGAACGACTTTTTGCTCTTTTGTGATGAAATGGGGGATCCAACGGGAAACAACTTTGTAACACCCAGTTCTTCATGTAGAATCTTGGATCGAGGTTTTTTAATTTATTATGTCCAAATATGCCTCTATCTCTTTGTATGTTGCACAGCCGCCATCCTTAATTAGCTGACTAACCATATTATTAATGTTTTTCTGTATGACTGCTGTTTGGGTTGATCTGGCCTAAATTCGTCGCTAAGATTGAAGCGATTACGTTGAAATTTGCAATATAAGCGAGAAATAGTTCACTGATGTAATGCTTCATTCCAAAAACTTAAACCATTTTAGTGAGATATTGCTGTTGAGATAATCTCTCCGAAAATTGTAAAAATTTTGCTCAAAAATTTTGGCTAAGATCCATTTTTTGACCGACTTGCTAATTTCAAAAAGTCACTGTATATACGTGGTATATATATGGCTTGTGTCGCAATAAAACTCTCGATTTATGTCAACAAAAGATTGAGGTTACATTTGTGTCGGAAGGTTTTATTTGTGGCGACCTCTAAGCAGCTTTATGCAAAACTAAACAGACAAACCTGGTATAATATTTTAATATTACACCTTCGGACAATATTTTAATCTTGTGACTGTCAATAGTGATTATGACAATTATTATAACACCATAATAATAACATAATTTTTCGAAAAAAGGTTATTCTACACGTAAAAATACGTTCAGCCTTAATATGGTACAAAATTGAATAAAGCAGATTTATATCTAGTATAAATTTTACAGTACATTACTAATATAAATAATTTAGCAAATTATCTAAATACAAGTATATATAAATTAGTAATATTTCAAACCCATTACTGCATAATTTATGTTTGGTTGCTCTTGTGATTAACTAGATCCATTTAGTTTGTCAAGTCATTTGTTTGTATTAAATTTGGTACAAATTGGCATACATAAAATATTCGCTAAGTTTATGAGATTACACCTACGAGGGATTTTACGCT